TAAAGGGTCACGTGTCCCCACCAAAGTGCGCATTCCCACATATCAAAACTGTAAACACAGTGCCAAATGTTTTCCCAGCTCAGGCTGGACGCCCCATAAATGTAGATTGTGTGCCAACTGTCACGTATGCACCACTACACACAAGCACTGTTCCCACAGTTATAAACACTTCCCCAGTAAAAGCAGGAAGTTATATAAGAGTAGCGCGTGTGCCCGCTGTTATGCACGCACCCCAACTCACAAACACTGTTTATATGGCCAAAAACCTCCCGCCACGAGCGGGAAGTTTTATGAAAGTGGCGCGCGTGCCTACCACAGTCTATGCACCCCCACCCATAAGCACTATACACACAGTGTTAAACATTTCCCCATCTCACTCTGTGACCATTACAGCGAGCGTGCCTGTAATCTCACATGCACCCCTGCACTCGGCATTTAACAGAGCTGCTCAGCGCGCGCCCGCGCCGCTGAGAGCTGTGAGCTCGGTATTAACACAGAACGATTCGCTGGCGGGAGCCATACGTCACTGCGACACGCCCCCGGCCAGCATTCAGCCCATATCTGTGCGAGCGAAAGCTTGGGAAAATATCCCCGACATGCCGAAATGGGTTTTGAACATAATAAAACACGGTTACTCGCTCCAATTCGCTCGCAGACCGCCCCGCTTCACAGCAGTGGTAGAGACGAAAGTGAGAAAAGATGTTTCACATGTTCTACGCACCGAGATGCTCAAACTGATAGAGAAAGGCGCTATAGAAACAGTTCCCCCCTCTATGAGCGAGGCAGGTTTTTACAGCCGCTATTTTCTCGTCCCGAAAAAGGATGGCGGTCTCCGCCCCATTCTAGATCTCAGACATCTGAACAAAGCTTTAATGATTCGCTCATTCAGAATGATAACAACCAAGCATATCCTCGTGCAAGTTCGCCCGGGGGATTGGTTTCTGTCAGTGGATCTGAAAGACGCTTACTTTCACATTCCAATAGCGCCTCATCACAGGCCATTTCTGAGATTCGCTTTCGAGGGACAGTCATACCAGTACGCAGTACTACCATTCGGCCTGTCACTGGCACCCCGTACATTTACGAAATGTATGGATGCAGCACTTTCCCCCCTGAGACAGCGGGGAGTGCGAATACTAAATTATCTCAACGATTGGCTAATACTAGCACAATCAGAGAGCCAGTTAGTGACACACAGGTCTTGGATTATCAGTCATCTAGAGTGCCTAGGTCTAAAAATCAATTTTGCAAAGAGCATGCTATCCCCCAGCCAGAATATTTCTTTTCTGGGAATAGTGCTAGACTCAGTGCAGATGACAGCGCGCCTCTCATCAGAGCGCGCGCTCACTATCCGGCGCCTTGCAACATCGTTCAGAGCGGGTGCGCGCGCCCCCGTCAAGCGATTTCAGAGGATGCTCGGTCTCATGGCCTCAGCATCAGCTGTACTCCAGCTAGGATTGTTGCACATGCGTCCACTGCAACAACGCTGGCTCAAAAGCCGTGTCCCCACTCACGCGTGGCGCTCGGGCCACTTTTTAATCAGAGCAAATCACGGCTGCATAAAAGCCCTGACGCCCTGGAAAGCTGTCGACTGGTATCAGTCCGGCGTGAGTTTGGGCGTGAACACAAGGAGAAAAATGATCACGACAGATGCCTCCAAAATAGGTTGGGGGGCCCTTTACGAGGGCAGGCCTGTCTCCGGTTTGTGGTCAAACCCGGAGAAGCGCCTACATATAAACTGTCTGGAATTGAAAGCGGTCGCTTTGGCTCTCAGAGCCCTGCTCCCGTACCTGAAGGACGAGCACGTCCTAGTCCGAACGGACAACATGACGGTAGTCTCGCATATAAATCGTCAGGGTGGACTCAGATCGAGCTCCCTGCACTCGATGGCCAGGGAGCTCCTCCTATGGTCCCAGCGCAACCTGCGCTCGCTGAGAGCAGCGCATGTGCCAGGTGTTCTGAACCAGGGAGCGGACATGCTGTCCAGAGACAAAGTTCTCCCAGGAGAATGGTCTCTCCACCCCCTGACGATTCAGTGGTTATGGCAAACCTTTGGCAGAGCAGAGGTCGACCTCTTTGCCTCCAAGGAAAATGCGCACTGCCCTCTCTTCTTTTCAAAGAGCACAGACGCGCTCGCCCAAGTCTGGCCGAGCCGCCCGCTGTATGCCTTCCCTCCGGTCGCGATGCTACCTCAGGTCATCAGTCGGATCAGGGAGGAAAAATGTGCAGTGCTCCTGGTAGCCCCACTCTGGAAGAACCAGACGTGGTTTCCAGAACTGATGCAAATGATGCAATCTGCCCCATGGCCGATTCCACTGAGGCTAGATCTCCTCAGGCAGGCCAACGGGATGATCCTCCATCCCCGCCCCGATCTGTGGGCCCTCCATGCGTGGCCCCTCATCGGATTCCCGGGAACCTCCCCAGTGGAGTGTTGAGAACCATCACTGAGGCGCGAGCGCCCCCTACGAGGCGCTTATATGCCCAGAAATGGAAGGTGTTCAGTGACTGGTGTAAATCCAGGAACCTGAATCCTGAGACATGCGAAGTACCGAGTGTGCTCGTTTTCTTACAAGAGCTGTTGGAGGCAGGCCGCACCCCCTCCACGCTCAAAGTATATGTGGCTGCCATAGCGGCATCACATGAACCGGTCGAAGGACGCACACTAGGGAAAAACTACCTAGTTGTTCGTTTCCTGAGGGGCGCCAGGAAGATAAATCCCCCACGCCCCCCCTCGGTGCCGATTTGGGACCTGGCCACGGTCCTGGACGCACTTAAGCATGCCCCGTTCGAACCCCTCCGAACTGTGCACCTTAAACAGCTTTCGCTCAAAACTGCTCTCTTGCTGGCTCTCGCCTCGGTCAAGAGAGTGGGCGACCTGCACGCGCTGTCATCAAGCGCTACCTGCCTTGAGTTTGGACCTAACGACAGCAGGGTTGTCCTCAGGCCAAAACACGGGTATATTCCTAAGGTGCTCTCTACTCCTTTCAGAGCACAGGTGATATCTTTGGCCGCGCTATCGTCCCCAGCAGACGAAAGTGACGCTAATTTACTGTTCAGACAGACAGAGCAGTTGTTCGTATGCTTTGGCGGCCGCACTAAAGGTCTGGCTGTGTCAAAGCAAAGAATATCGCGCTGGATAGTTGATGCTATAGCGCTGGCTTATGAAGCCAAGGGCCTTCAGTGCCCCTTGGGCATCAGAGCTCACTCTACGAGAGGCATGGCCTCCTCGTGGGCGTGGTCGAGTGGGATACCCATTCAAGATATTTGTGCGGCTGCAGGCTGGGCCTCACTGTCCACATTTATCAGGTTTTATAACCTACAGGTCCCCTCATTGCACTCTAACATACTGTCGGTCTAACTATGCATAGGCTGGGGTGTGTACATGCTGAGCATTGTCTCCTCCCTCATAGAATCCGTCTTTGACTGATGTAGAGGATTTTTCATACATGACAGTACATAAAAATGTGCTTGTGTGTGTCTCTGGACGCCCATCGGGCCGTTCCAAGTTGTCCTTTTATAAAGCCCGCCTTCGGCTGGCTCGTTGGATAATTACTTTGCTCGAAGGCTCAGACATCTGCCTCCGGCTTAATAGAGCGAAGTCAGCACGCACGGCGTTTTACATGGCGTTCCCATAGCGTAAGCTATTACGCAATAGGAGGAACCTCTCGAAAGGGAACGACTCGGTTACTAACGTAACCTCGGTTCCCTGAGAGGAGGGAACGAGTATTGCGTAATCTGCCGTGCTTGTGCTTGGTCAGTTTGCTTCAGTCGATTGAACCTAAAGAACTCAGACGACGGGGCGCCCAATATATAGCCCTTGGCCACGCCCATCTTGGCGGGCTCTGACGCGTGTGGGCGCGAAGCACGCTCATTGGAAGCGGGTTCAGAGTCGCCCCGTCATTGGTTCGTGCAAGTTGCCGCAGCACAGCCAATGACCGAGCTGCCTCGCTTATTGCTGTATGCTGTGCAGCTGCAATGCGTTTTACATAAAGACTTCAATATTTCTCGAGAAAAGGAGTTTTCCCATAGCGTAAGCTATTACGCAATACTCGTTTCCTCCTCTCAGGGAACCGAGGTTACGTTAGTAACGGAGTCGTTTTTTTTCCCAGAGCGGATATAAATAAATAACTTTTTTTTTACAACAAAAATTAACCATCACTGAACTTACTTAAACTGGACTATGATGCTATTTTCTTCTAGACAAACTTTGTTACATTATTCTTCCTGTTATCACTGTAAAGCTGCTTTGAAACAATCTGTATTGAAAAAACGCTATAAATAAAATGACTTGATCAACCTTTATAGTGTTCGCTTTACTAAAGGCCTTTTAATGGCAGGAGACATCGTGCACATCAAAAACAGGCAAAGCAACAAATTAATATGTCAATACTAGCTTTTTACAGAAAATATTCAGATGTAAGTTAACCCCCTTTGTAATCATTAACATTTTCATAAGTAGGATAACTGTAATTTAATTACATGTTTTTTTCTCAGTAACTGGATTACATTTATTTTGTAATTAAATTACGTAACTGTTTCAAGTAACTACTCCCCAACACTGCTCACCTCACACATTATACATCTTCTTACCAAACGAACATAAAAGGTTGAGTTGTTATATATATATAACATGTAATTTATTATTGAAATGTTGGACAACTCAAATTGACCAATCAGAATACATTATTACAGAGAACCACATACTGAGGCTGTAATGTTATAAAGTCATTTAGCCATTTAATCTTGTATTTTTACTCAGTCTCTTAGCTTACTCTGGGGGTCTTTGATTTGATTTGGAGAGCACTTGTTTATAGCTGCTAATCAGTCCCAACATCATGTAGGATATTCAGATTAGTGGGCGTGGCTTCTCTGATTGCAGCTAAAAACACTACAAAATAAATTATATTACCATGTGCAGAATCTACATTGTTCTCATAATGTTAAATATTTCAATATAACTGCAGTTAGTTAACAAAATATTTCAAATGATTTGATCGCACATCTTAAGAATTCATTTTATTAGAGAACTACATGAATATGTACACAATGCAAATGGTAACAGTACAAAGGCCAAAATCCATATACATGATAATACCACCAACTTTTAGTGCTTCATCATTTCATTCATGTATACAGAATTCATATAAAATGCAGTCATCCAGTTATAGGGTGAATGGTGATGATATGAATTGTAATATTCTGCCCAGGCTCTGTATGAACTCCAATAATCCTGTCCGGCCACTTCCTCTTCCAGTTCATCAGTCTCGTCCTTTCTCCACTTCCGTCCGGCCGAGGCAGCCTTTCTGCTGGATTTGGAGGTTGGTCTGCGTTTCTGGGGAGGGGGATTCTGGGATTGAGGTTTACATGGCCTTTGCTTGTTTCTGCTGGACTGTTGTGACACTCTGGCTGAAGGTAAAGAGGATTCATTTGATTCCGGACGATTGTGTACATGCGAGACTCTTTTGTCTGGAAGAGCAAGTGTGTGATGTGAAGAGCTGTTGGGGACAGAAGAGCTTGATTCACTTTCGACCTCCATCTCTGACTCTGAAGAGGAATCATCAGATGACACGGAAGCAGTCTTTTGATCAGAAACCTCCTGGGGTGGAGGAAGATCTTGATAGGACTGTGATTTTCTTACAATATCTGATTTATAAGCCTCATCATCATCATCATGGCTGTTATGCAGTCCATTAACTGCATCTCGACTCCTGTTGAAATCGTCATACTGGCGAATGACTTCGACAGATCTTCCCAGACCTTCGGTTATGAAGGTCTCATAATCAGCCACAGCCTCGTTGAAGGTCATAAACTTTCGTGCCTGCAACTTAAAGGAGGACAGTGGAGGAATTCTGGGAAGGGTGTCATTCTGCTGTCTCTGAGAAGGAGTTGAGTCATGTATGTTTGTAGCAGATGGTAATGGTTTTTGCCTCTTAGGTTTGGGAGAGTGATTTTTAGCCTTGGTTTGAGTTCCACAGTAGGATTTATCACCTGTGGCCCGTTCTGTGATGACCGCAGAGATGTGAGTCTCTCTGGAGGGTTTAGATGTTGTCTGTTCAGATTTAGCTTGTTTCTTCTTCTCTGGTTTGGGAATGTCAGGAATTGTGTGAGTGGGTTTTGAAGGAGGTTCAATGATCACATCCCAGTCACAAGTCTCTTCCATGATCCCTGGAGGGATTGGATCTGTGAAGAAACAAAATTTATGAACTCTAATTTGAACATATTTCACATCCTTCACTTTAAGTTTAAGGAATATTCCAGATTCCATTCAAGTTATCAACAGCATGTGTGGTATACTGCTGATTGCCACAAAACCTTTTAATTTTTCTAAGAAAAACATACAGCAATTTTTAGGGGATTTAAAAGCAGGAAAGCTTATAATTTCATAAGAGCCCTTTTTTATTTTGATGGTGTTGTGTCAAGTTAATTAATACAGAAAGTAATTTTTTTCACACCACAATCGCGTTAAAACGCATATTGATTTTGTCTTCAAGATATATTATACTGAGCATTTTAATATAATATTTATTTGAATTTTATATGTTATTTAAATGTAATATAATTTAAGCATTTTGCATAAATGTAATATTCTTTTATTTTTATATCAGTGAGTTTATGGATCGGTTCCATTCACTTCCATTGTAAATACCTCACTGTAACACTACCTCACTTTGCTTTTAAAAGGAGGGAATAGTGAAAATTAATTTGTGATAATCAACATTATACCACAAATGCTGTTGATTGAGCTTAACTTGCACTGAACCTGAAATATTCCTTAAACGATAGAGGACTTAAAAGTTTTACTTCCTCTGTACCTGGTAAATGAGTGAGATTCAGAGAGCATTTCTGAGCAATGGCCATCATCTTGTTCTCCTCCTCACCATGGCAACAGTAAGTCACCGCAACCCCTAGAGTCCCTGAAACACAATAGACTGGGGTCACGGTCAAAGGAAAGACAGTGCTGATCGTGTCCATTTCTAGAATTCTGATGAGAATGAAGAGCGAGTTCATCCACAACATCACGTTCAGGTTTCAATTATGAATTCTGATTCTGGAGTGCTGCAGTCATTAAAAAGCTCTTGATGCGTTTGTGTTTAGCAGCTAATTATGCAACTGATTGCTGTAGTTGCCCTTTCAGACTCTGACCCCTGCCAGACGGTCTCAGAACAGATCTCTGATTAAGCACTCTCGTGTAAATGCCCAAGACACACATTAATTAAAACCACAGAGATGTGGCTTCACATATATAGGTGCTTAATTGTTTTATAATTTGACACACCAAATCGTCCAGCGCGACCAATACGGTGCATGTAGGTCTCCCAGTCCTGAGGAACATCCAGATTAATCACCAAGTTCACCTTCTCAGCATCAATGCCACGTGACGTCTGTGCAAGAGACAGATTTATAAGAGAGGAAATGTTACTTTGGGATTAAACATGGGATGTTTTCGAGTGTAGGTGTTGTAATAGGTTGAAATCCTCACCAGATCGGTGGATATTAAAACTCGACACTGATACTGCTTCAGCTTCCACATCGCCTCTAACCTCTGGTCTTGACTTAAACCACCTACACGCAAAACAAACACAAAGGGTTTAAACATAATAACCATTAATAATGGCTTTCATACATTTACATGCCCACGCCCCACGTTCTAAGTTCTTTCTAAAAATCATTCTGATCCAAATTCTCGTGAGTGTGTGTGAAGAAAACTGTTGTTATAAAATTAGAAATACACTGAAAATCAACACTGAAAAGTTTTTTTTTTTTTTTCTCAATTTCTGTGGGCTGTTTTATTTTATGCTAAGAGTATGTACAATTTGTATTGAAATACAATTGTGTATCTGAATTAGGGGCTATTTAACTGTGCTGCTTTTCCATTACTTATTAGAGCTGCACGATTTTGGATAAATTGAGAATCACATTTTTTATTTGTTTCAAATAGAGATCATGATTCTGAACAGACACCTAAACAATATAACATGTAAATTTACTAGAGGCTCTGACAAAATAATTTCTGCGATCTATTTAATTAATATGAATGAAATATTTTGGGGGGGAAAAATCGGTTTTAATGAATGATTCAATGAACAATCACTTGTCGACACCTAGTGGCATAACACCGTAATCAATACAATCGTTACTCTATTTTGATCGCTCCCATAGACATCAGTGTTTATATCTGAAATATAAACTTATCTTAGTTCTTCTGTGATTATTTGAATATTTTTAACAGAAATAACGATGATGTGGTTGAAAAGACTGTAAGTGAAGCAGTTTCATATCTATACTGTACATGACAACTGCTCTCTCTGGCTCAGCGGCAGCGCTAACACAGATCAGAATGTTCCGCTATGATTTTGTCCAAAGTTTAATAGACACAGGCAAATTGTTGTCATTTAGGCAATAAGATTGCGTGGGTGTTTGAATCGAGATCGCAATTTTTTAATCGTGCAGCTCTATTGCTTGTATATGTAACCGGTCCTACTCGGCCCGCTTCAAACAGGATTCGAACTGTGGTCTCCGGTGTGGGAGATGGGCGCGCTAACAAGGACGCTTGTACTTGTTCTAAAAAAAATTCTATTCAACTTTTATGAACTTCAATTACAAAACCAAATCAAGATCAGTTACAACCATTCATTTAATACTAGTTAGTTGACTTGAGATCAAACCCCTGACATTTCAAAAAGCTTAAAAACAGTATAACATAAAGCACTAAGAATTCACTAAGAAATAAAGGATTCATAAAGGTATTGAAGCTTTGTGAAGCATTGTATCAAACATCCTCATGACTACAAATCATTCATCGAACAGTTAGGAAGCTGCCGTAAAAGTAAAAGTATGTTCAATAGACAATTTTTGAAAGACAAGGTGAAACTCACCTGAGATGCAGACCGCAGGCAAACCTTTGGAGGAGAGGATATCAGCCAGGTGCTGAGCTCTGCAGAACAACAGCTCAACTCAGTCTTTCATTACTTTCAATAAAGATCACAACACTTTTGGAAATAAAAGTCTTTGAACAATAAAGACCAGGGCCCGTATTCATAAAGATTCTAAGAATCCTCTCAGAAAATACTTAATTTAGCTTAAAAACTTTTACGTAGGAGTCTTAGCTTAAGAGCGATTCGGGACCGATCTGAGATCAACTCTGAGTAAGGAAAAGACAAAAACTTTCATCTTAGTGAGGAGGCGGGGCTGACCCCGTTGCTATGTATGACACAATCTTTTGAAGACTGTGATTGGTTGGTTGTCCAAGAAGGAAAAAAACAGTGATTTTAAGTATAGGGTCTATTCTAAGCCTTCACTTTGAAATTACATGCGCAATTTTTCCTATTTGACCGTTCTCACACATTCTATATGTGTATATAAATCCTTTTTTATTTTACTTACCATGCTGTTAATTTCCCATAAGGTATTTGGTTGGCTTAGAATGATAAAAATTGTTCCACTCTTTCCAATTGCACTGATTGCTGGCATGTCTATTTAAGTGGTGGTTTGAATGTTGGTTTTAAATGTAACACACATGGAATCAAAACCAAGAAGGACGAGAAAGCCCGACTGGACAGAGGAACAGTGTTTACTGTTAGCCCAGTTAGTGGATGAACACAAGGCCATCCGTAAAGGAAAATTCGGGCCGGGTGTCAATCTGTAGCATCTTATTAACTCACTGTCATCCATTGTACACATTTCTTCTCCCTCTTCGTCTTTCTGCCATTTTCTCCTCTGCTAAAGAAACTCTTAAGCCTCTTAAAAGTCCTTGTCCGTACTCCTAACAATTTTGACCTTAAGACCTCTTTTAAGGGTTAAGATACTTTCTGAATTACTTTTTCCTTTACTAGGATTTTTTCTTTAATTTTAAGAGTAAACACCCACATTTCTGAGAATTTTCTTAGAATTTTGTCACTAGGAGCTACTCTTTGCATTAAGATTCTTCATGAATACGGGCCCAGCGCTTTAACATCTGTTAAGATGCAGTCACATTTCGGTGACATTTTGCTGGTGAAATTCAGTCATTTTACTAGAATTCTTAATTTTTGGAAGTTTTGCACAAATGCAGAAAAGGTCCCTTATGCAGATTTCGCTCATATTCAAGTTGGTCACTGAATTCGTTGTGCTGACCAACAGAAAGCTGCTTGGTTTTAATGTTCTAATGTGACTGTGACTTTACTCATCACAGGCATCAGAATGTTTTCAGAGTAATGGAAGTAATTGAAAAGGTGTGGGGAAACAGCTCTTGCCTGGTATGGAGGTTTGAAAACACCAGCGCTTGGTTAAATGGGATTTTGCTGAAAAGTTCGAGAAGACTTTGAACCTTCTCCTCAAAGATTTTATGAGGCAATGAATGAGATGGAACAATCTTATAGTACTGTTTTAGTCCTGGAGGAGAGAGTACAACACAAGAACGATGCTGTTATCATGCACAAACTGTTTCAATCCACAATTAAAAGGATATTTAAACAAAAGAAGCGAATCAGAAAGCACTGCAGACTGACCAAGGAGTCCAGGGTCTGTTGGGTTCAGTCGCACAAACGTTGGCTCTCTCATGTATCTTGACAGGTGTTGTGCTAAAGATTCTGGGTAGGTGGCAGAAAGGGCCAACATTTGTTTATTTGCTGGTAGAGAGGAGAATATCCAGCTAACACAGAAAACAAAAAGATAAGTTAACTCCAACCAGTTGAATTACAACACAGAACAGTCTCTGAATCAAATGCACCTATTCAACTCTTACTTGATCTGCTCCTGAAAGCTGCTGCTGATTTCGTCCTCCAGCAGTTTATCAGCCTCATCCAAAACAAACAAGCGAACGGAGGACGTAATGAGGGCTTCCATCTCAATTAGCTGCTTAATACGACCTACAAATACAACACCACTTCATCAATACTGCCTAAAAACATCTAAACCAAACACACTCTCTATTAGAGAAAGCTTTACTTACAAGGTTAAATAGTATTCCAGACAATTACCCAAGATGAGAAATCTCACACTTAGTTTAACAATTAATTATTAACAGACATCTTTTAATAGCATCCGACTACACAAGTGTTTTATTAGCATTTTTAAGTTGAAGAGCATTTATGTTAAGTACTTTTTTATGCTTAAAGTAGCAATGAAATGGAAGTAGTGATAGATATTTTCTTCCATATTGTGATGTACATCCGAATGAAAGGAATATCAAAAAAAAAAGAAAAAAAAGTAGAGCAGCACTTGGTTTAATCCATCAATAGTCGAGGATGGAGGCAGATGTGAATGCGTGCTTGCAGTAGATTGTAAGAAAGGGGCGGGGTTTGAGTGGACTAAATGATTGGAGAATTCCAGCAGTCACCAGACAGAAGTCTGTCACTTTCACCGGAAGATTGAGTACTGGCATTTTGATTGAAAATTTATGTAAAAAAAAAGGTTAAAAAATTAGGTAACGGTAAATATAAATTGTTCATATTAAGATAATTATGATTATGATCAATTATGATTATGCCATTGCTGCATTTTCATTTCATGCCAACTTTTCTGTTTATAGACCTTAATAGAGCAGCGCCATGACAAGACTGAAAGCAAAGCTGAGACTTAGTGTTTTCACACCTAAAAGTCCGCACCAAGGTCCGAACCAAAGTTCACGTTTTGATACATTTTATACTTTCAGTAAGTTTTGGTTTGGTTTCACACTGCAATTATGCGAGCGCACTAAAGAACTTTACGTAACATACTTGCGTCCTGTCGTCATCATCTATGTGGGCTGCATCTTGACATTGATTGGTTTGTAAATGGACGTGCGTCTGACGTCAGCGTGTTGTCAATTCGGCGGGTAGCTTTGACAACATGATGAACAGACACATATCGTTGCAACTATATTGTTATTTTTATGGCATAATTACCTGCAGCACCAACTATACACAAGGCTAGTTCAAATCCGCCAAATGAACGTCCTCGTCGTGCGAACATTTTATCGCCGCTGGCAGGAAAGGAGGAGAAGACTGCAAGTTGACTTCTTATTATGTCATCAGACCATACTTCAATTAATACTTCACTAAATGACTGAGGATCTCACACTATCAGGACTTTCAATTCGTTCTGAACACAACAAACTCACACACTATGAGACGCATGACAGATGAAACAAACATGGATGTGCAGGAGATGACGGCAGTAGTTGTTGTAGAGACTCTGTGTTGAGTCTCAAAAAATAAAATGAGCCAAGCACATCTGGATGCGGTCCTGGGTGGGCAGACACGGTCAGTATATGGATGATGGGAGTTAGAGGTGAGTGGTGCTGTCAGTTGTTTCATCTGTGCTGAGAAGTCAAATATTGAGGCTAATTTTGTTACGCGTGCGCTGTTAATTTACTTTTGTATTGTTATTGTATTTGTATTGTATTTTATTGCAACACTAGTAGATAAAAGACATCTTTGGGTTCAGTAGCGACGCGTCATACTCATAATATGTGTTCTAAAACACGTTTTGATATCTACCAACTGGAATGGAATCATAGTCTGAAGCTAAAATATCAGAGTCTGTGCCCGTCACACATTAAGAGATTTTCTGTGAAATCTGTCAACTCTGACTGATTTTCGGCAACTATTGTTGACTTATCCAGATTGCAAATCGGGGCAAAAATCTGAGCAAAAGTAGTGTAGTTTATTCTAGCCTTAACATATCTGTCAAGAAAAATTATTTGACTAGCTCCAACCTGGTGAACCAATGGCAATGTGGCATTTCTTCAGGTGCAGTTTATCTTGACTGACAGGTCGGCCGCCAATGAACACGTGGCACTGCAAGCCCTCCATAGCGCTGCCTATTGCCATGACAACAGCATGAATCTGCACCGCAATCTCCCGAGTGGGGGCTAGAACCAGCACCTGATGGGACAAGAGAAGGGTGCATTATCACAAAACAGGCACACACTTGTGTTTTGGGTGCTTATATTTAACGTTAAAAGAAGACATAAAAAGAAAAAAAAGTCTTTATGATATATTCGTACTGTCTTTAACCGGTTTTATATATTTAAAAAATATATATATATTATAGGGAAGAACATGAATTCGTAATTTAATACTTTTTGTTACATATCAGGAATTGTGCTCAGATTAATACCTGTGTGGTTGTGTTTTCCAGTATAAGAGAGTCCAAAGCGATGGTGGTGAACACACATGTTTTTCCTGTGCCAGATTTGGCTTGAACAATAAGGTCTGAATAGAAGAAAACATCAATAAACATTATTTCCTTCAAATGGTGCATGAAATGACAGGCATATATTTTCATTGATAAACTACACTCAATCATAATACATATTACATCAAAGAGCAGCTTTGTTATTAATGACAAAAAAAGTAGGTTTAGGCTTGTTTTGGTATTGTTTCGAGTTTTATCAGGCCTCGTACCGAGTCCACATCTTCCCAGCGGGATTGCCTTCAGCTGGATGGGGGACGGTCTTTGAAAGCCAGAGGCAGATAAACCCTCAAGCACAGGTTTTGAGAGGAGTAAAGAGCTGAACTCGACACCGCCGTTATTTAGAACATCATCTGTCCGAGTTCTGGATTGCAGCTCATGCGCTGCTTTCTTGGACGCCGCCATATTTATATTGCGACTACTTTCTGTTCTTCGGCGCTGAATAAATGAGTTGAGCAGAGAATAACTGCGCCTCCTTGCGCACATAAACAGAACCACAGCTTAAAATACCACCGACATGCTGCAGAGGGCGACAGACACACTTGTTTGACATAAGCAAATAAAATAAAATAAAATCCTGTATGGAGGTAAATTTAAAAAAAAAATTAAACCTGAAATTACATTTAAACCAAACTTTGAAAAAAATATCACATGGAATAAATGTTTGTTTGTTTGTTTGTTTGTTTGACTTTACTGGACAGAAATTCATCTTTAACACTAGCATAAAAACAGATAGGCCTACATCAGACAACACTACCACATCATATACCACATAATAAAACACATGTGGAACACATTTATCTCTATCAGAAACATGATTAAAACAAATGAATACAATATCTGCATAAATACACGCACATATGCTTATGCATGCACATGTTCATACACCTAGTAACTACCTCAATTGAAAATTTGATTTAAAACAGTCACCGCCAATGGAACAAATTATCTTTTATAAATGTACTTTTTAGCAAACGGTATACGCAGCCTGTGCCCCGAAGGAAGGGACTCAAAGCATGAGTGGAGTAGGCTATATTGCTGTTGCCTTTTTCTTTATAAAATGTGAAAACAACTCTTGAGTTGCAATGTAGGCCTACTCTGTTTTTGGCCGGTGATCTTATTTGCTTTGTTAATTACTCGTATTAATTTATTCTTCTGTCTCATTGTTAAATTGCCATACCACGAAACGATATTATAAGTTAAAATACTTTCGATCATCGATCTGTAACCAGATCTCCCATCAATGCTAACATTTCTTAACATCCTAGACCTAAACGTTGTCTTGTTTTCTTATGTATGGTCCACATTTTCCTGGAATGAGAGTTTATCGTTAATAATTATACCTAAATATTTAAAATTTGAAACTTGCTCTAACTTTACACTTTTTATAATAACTTGTTCATATGGGAGGACAGCCTACTTTCCTATTTTGAGTCCCACAGAATAATTACTTTGTCTTCTCAATCTCAATGTTCAATTGTATGACTGTTGTCAAACCATATACAAGACTTTTAATATACTCAAAATAGGTTGAACAATTTATGTCTGTTTGGCAAGAAATTAAAACCAAGTCATCAGTGTATTTGATTAAAGTGAGATCATCCCTGTTACATTGAAGTTCGTTGGTATTTAACAGAAAAAAAGCAAAGGGGATCATACACATCCCTGTGGTAACCCCAAATTTAAAACTTCAAGTCCAGTGAGTTTAAAGATAAAATTCTGTTTGAAACCTGCTCTGCAGGCCACTGAGCCCTTCTCAAAATTAGATGGATGGTTGGATAGATGTGTAGATAATAGTTAGGCTAGGGCTACTGTACTATACATGCTACAAATAAATATATGATAGATAGAACTGAAATAAAAACAAGTTTACAAAATGGATAAGGCTCAACCCCCCTCTAACATCCAATCTATCAGAGTGAATCTTAAGAGAGAGTTAAAGCTGTACTATTGTTGAGCAACAATAGTACAGCTTTAACTCTCTCTTGCTATGCATGAACCCTCCATTCATCATGAACTGACCGCTGGTGTGAAAGCACGACTTGTTTTGTTGACGGACAACCGTTAGTTAATCCTATTCAGGAACTTTCCCTTTCAAATCAGCACACATACTTCAGTGCCTTTGACTGTAGTACCGGGTGCTCCTTCGCCTGTGCGCAGAGGCTGTAATGTCATCTGAATATGTAATAAGAAGTGTGTCAGAGACGTTAGAGAGGAGGACTATTATATTTAATAACAGCGCAGTTCATACATGACTGACCAAAACCAACGCGGGAAAAACCAAAGATAATTTTAAGGGTCTCTCAGCGGGTAGCGACATGAATTAGATGGGGTTTTAATTAATCAACCTGCGTTTAGTTTTTACATTATTTTAATTTAGTTAACTCAGCAGAGTGAAAAGAGAGCGGAACTCGGCGACATGGACAGTAACCGTCGGCGTCTAAAACATGAGCTGGTGAGAATTGCCTGATCTTTTTTCTCCCTTTCTTCATCTACTTTTACTTACAGCACGTGTGTTTTTACTACACGAATCTTCGCGGGCAGATAATGGGTAGATAATAATCTGCCCACATAGGGATATGGGCAGATGATATTTGTTATGAGCTCTCGTTTATATTTTTTTATATAACACAATTGTATGCGCGTTTCTCAGACGCAGTTCTTTTCCCCTGTGCGTTGATGTTTATCCAATCCAGCCGTGCTTCAGAGAAACACAAAAAGTGCAACCAACCACCTGATTGGAAGCGGTTATTTGAAAATGAGGCCGCTGATTGGCTGGTACTCGCCCTTCTGTAATGATTTAAAATGTGAGTGCTGATCTATTTTTTTTACAGTCTATGGTGCTGTCGTGCTGATCTATTTTTTTAAAGTCTATGGTGCTGATTTATTTTATGCTGCCTGTCACACAACAGAAAGTCGCTTTTTAGCTCTGTCTAAGATTGCTGCTTCAGATTTAAACCTCCACCATTGTGGTAAAAAAAAAGGGCTTACCCAGTAGTATTATAACACTACAGATCAATTTCATGAGATGTTGAAATATTTTAAATGCACTTAGTGCATCCATATGCAAAGCTGCAAAAAGGCTACAACCCATAGGAAAGAAAAATCTCAATACATTTGTACATTTAATCATTTAGCAGACGCTTTTTTCCAAAGCGACTTACAAATGAGGAGAACAATTAAGCAATCAAACGAACAATAGAGCAACATGTAGTTCTGTGATTAGTCCCCCCAGTAGGCCTACACATAGCAAGTTTTTTAATAAAGGAAACAATAAATAGATAGAAAAAAAATACAATAGTAAGTGTTACTGATTCTTGAGAGTCGGGACAAAACACGTTTTTAAAAACTTAAAAAAAAATACACACTATATCAATTAGAGTTGTATGTTTCTGCAGAGAAAGGTCTTAGCTATTTAACCATGTAAACGGAACAGGTTCTAAATAAAAACACATTTTTAACAAATAAGCATGTTTCCCTTCAGAACTGGATTTGTGTCAACTCCGTCAAACACACTAAAAAGTATACAATTTGAATTCTTCCAATCCAAAAAGAATCTAAATTTCTGAAGTATATTGTAATAGTGTTTAGTTACTCTGATATGTAAAAAAAATACAATATATAAACTTAAGTTGTGATTTCACACTATTCTGAAAACTCAGGTTTCTAAATATTTGCATTTCCAAACTTTGATTTTAATTTCAATATTTGAAAAACAAATTCCTTAAATAAATAAAACATAAGATGATGTAGATCAGATGGTCCTTTATTACAAAAACAACATAAACTGAAGGAAGAACATTTTTCCCCAAAAAAATTAACAAAAACAAAAACATACATCCAACGCTGTTGATGAAGATCTGACGGTGTTGATGAAAAACTGACGGTGTTGATGAAGATCTGACGGTGTTGATGAAAAACTGACGGTGTTGACAAAAAATATGTGTGTATTGTGATTATTGAACAGATGTGCTCTTTAAACTACTACTAAAACTACTCCTTGTTATTAGAGTATTGAACTTACTGTAAAGCAAACTATAAGCACATACACCGTTTCCAACTATTATAAATTACACCGTTTCCAACTATCAAAAAAACAAACAATAAGGGAAACCAGGGGCCCTCCTCTGTTTTCATCTACCTCCCCTATCACTTCCTGCTCTACTTTTTCTCATCCACCTCTTCTCCTCTTCCTTTCCTCCTTATAGCCATTTACTTTAAAGTGGCGTGTGTGTGTGTGTGTGTGTGCATATGTGTGTGTTTGATTGCCCTGCACTGCCTACTTTATACTGGGTGTGATCTTAAATTGACACTCCTTGACAACAATACTGCAACACATAATCTGTAGCTTAGAATCAGGTTCAATTAGCTTACTTAAGATTTCATTTTTGTCTAACCTGCGCTTATGCCTTTAGCAGCAGGCGTCGGATATGCGTATGGTTAAATAATGTAATGCATGCTATGTATGTGCATTTATGTGTAAATAAAACCCTGAAATAACAGTTTAACCCTTCACTATATTCACAAATAATATTCGCACATTAAGAGGTTATTGGTGGATTTGTCAACTCCGTCAGCTTACAGGTCAACTCCGTCAGACATAGAACCTGACGGAGTTGACGTCTGACGGAGTTGACGTAAGGGCATGTATTTTCCCGCCAAAACATGTATTGTACACGGCATCTAGGTAGTTTTTCCTCAGTTGCTAGCTGTCCCAATAACCTCACTAAAATGCTTAAATTCAATCCACTATGGTTTAAAAAAAGTATCTTAACAGAAAGATGGTATTGACATGGTGCAGCTGTGACCATAGGAATATTGACATTGTTTGTCTAAAATATAAAAAAATGTAAAACGTACCAGAGCATGTGTGGTAGTGCTGCATTCACCACAGACAGGGAGATGAAAAGGGGTCCTCAAGGATATAGCTGACCATGGTATTTCCTGATTTAAAGAGCTTTATGAAAAAATCTGATGGAGTTGACAGAAACTGAGGACACAACTTTAATAGGCAGATATTTATGGAAAATATTGTTTGATGTTCACTTCATGCATTGTTTTTTATATTTATACCCCTTATTTTTTATTTGATATATATGTTTTCACAATTGTAGAGCTTTTTAAAAGTTTTTTGGGATGGTTAATATTGTAACCTCTTGCTGAGGACAAGTGCAATAACATGGACCATCTAACCACAGAGTACTGAGTACTCTTTTGTCATTTAAACAACTTTTCCCCAAAAAGATAAAAAAAATTATTCTAAAAATCAGATAGGTATATACAATTCCTTTAGATTTAACTTTGTAAGTATCTCATACATGATGAATTTCTTTATTTTTGCTATAAATTAGACTTTTCTTTGTGGGACATGTTTTGTCCCGACTCTCAAGAATCAGTGAGCTACTAATGGGTCAAGTGTTGAAACAGATGGGTTGAGTTAGGCATATGAGGTGTAGGCTATTTTGTGACACTGCTTAGCTAACTAATCAGCCAATTGTGTCGATGTTATAATACTATATATTATATTACTGTTATTATCAGTAATTATTTCGTTATTTTAGCTTCATTTACAAGTAAAAACGTCACAATTACTGAGCAATGTTGCAAACCCTCCCTTTGCGCCACCTGGTAGTGTCACATGTGACTGGATTGTACACGCGGCAGTTGTGCATTTTGGTTAACTATAGCTATACTGTATTATGCATCTTTTAGGGCTTGTTATTTTTGGGCTTGTTATTTTTTCCCAAGTGACAACTTATTTCAGTCTCCACATGTACGTTATCCAGACACATAGTAAAAAATTCACTTTCTCAGCTACGTCCCCACCACGCTGCCACACACATTGAGATCAGCTCCGACACGTCACTGTGACGTGTAACGTCTAATATCTAATGTCTAACAATGCCTTTAATCAGACGGCTGGCAAACACGTCAGTTCTCCTCTCAGTTAGCTAAGATATCCACTTATTTGTCAGCTCTCACACATGTGTGACATGCCTTCTCTTCTCAAATTTTATTTGATTTATTTTCATCATTTATTTATTCATTTATTTGTTTATGTTTATTTAAATAACCTTTGTGTGTATGATAGCGACTGAAAATAAAGAGAAAAAGTACTCAGAGTAAATAGGTGCTTTCTAGATAAGTAAATAGGGCTAGGATGTTACTTGCAACCATCACTCATTTGTTGGTGTCTGATTAATGCTGCTGTATGTCTGGGCACATCCCAAAGGAAACTGACACAGCAGAGGCCAGTGACATCACACAATGAGAAAAAGGACCTACGGCTAAATCTGGTGAAACACAGAACATGCCATAACTAGCAAACCAACCCGATCACACTAAATGCGTCTCTATAGCACGCAGTGTGTTTATCGTGTAATTTATACGCGAAAATGAGTTTTTACGTGCATACGCATGGGTTGGTTAGGGTAGGTTTAGTAGTGGTGTGGGGTCCAACCTCTGTAAACTTTAACAACTATGAAGTGACATAATTTTATAATGACCTTAATGGCTCTACTGCCCACATAAGCAGCTGTCTATAGGCTATATAACATTTGAATATCTAAATTAGATTTAAAGGAATGTTTCAGGTCAAATACAAGTTAAGCTCTGTTTCCTCACACCTGCATTTATGACCAACTCAGTAAAATTGGCTACATGCCTCAGCTGTTCATGACTCACAGTCTAGTCATTTCACCCACATGCCTGTTAGCTCCTACATCTCCCATCATGCCTTGGGATGCAATGTTGCTGTAGAATAGCATCAGTAGTGCTGCTGTGCTCAGACTGACTAGTGATCGATCACACTTGTAAGGCAGAGAAGGAACAGAAAACAGGGAGTGAGACGAGAGAAGGAAAGGCTGCGAAGGTAAGATTACGGGTTTTATTTGGTGATAGAAGAAAAAGGGTGTTTTAGGGCATTTTAATGGAATTTGTTTAAATGTATTATAAGTAATAATTGAAATCATTAAATACAACTAAACAAAGACGGGAATGCATACAGTATGGAAAATCAAAATTATATTAAAAAAATATATATATTTTTTAGCCAGAATTTTTCAGTCTCCATTGTTAACGATCTTTAAAGACATAGATTATACCTTTCCGTCAAGATCACTTTAACATAATATGTTATTCACATTTGTCCCCCCAAAAATAAACACAATAAAATGCAATAATAAAAAAATAATAATAATTACTATTATTTTATCCAAACATTTTATCCTTAATTTTCATCAGGCATTTATGCATGCATCTCTTGTACATAGCGTTTCACTATATACATACAGTATATATATATATATTTATATATACATACATACATTTTGGGGTTGGTAATGTGTAATGTTTTTTAAATAAGTCTCTTTGCTCATAAGGCTGCATTTATTTGATCAAAAATACAGTAAAACATTATTTTTGTACATTTATTACAATTTAAAATAACTTTTCTATTTTAATTAAAAAAATTAAATCCTGTTATTTTTAAACACATTTTCTATTATTATCAATGTTGAAAACAGTTGTGCTGCTTAATATTTTTGTGCAAACTGATACTTTTTTTGATAAATAGAAAGCTCAAAGGAACAGCATTTATTTTAAATAGATTTTTATAATAACAATGTAAGTCTTTAATATTACTTCTGATCAATTTAATTCATCCTTGCTGGAAAAAAACTTTAGAACTGTAGTGTATCAAAGCAGCTTTACAAAAAAGAATTCCTCTATGCTCCCAGTAAGCAATTCGAGTGCTATTGTGGCAAGGAAAAAAAACATTGGGATTCTCTTCAGCAGATGCTGAGCCAGCTATCAGTGATGGCACACTGGGCAAAAATTGCAGACAGTTTGGTGTAATATTGATTTTTGATAATTACTGTGAAGTCAGTGTTATTTACGAGTCACAACAGATTAAATTTACTGTTGCTTCATTATGTCGTAGTAATTGCTCTCTTGCTTTCTTCCCTTTCCCATTATAGGATTCTTTGCGGCAGCAGTCAGATGAGGGTCTCCACGCTCAGATGAATTCTGTGATCGGTGCTCTCCAGGAGCTCAAACTCTTGCAGGTCCAAACTGCGCTGGAGATAAATCACAGTTCAAGAAAAACCCACCTGGACCGAACACTGAATCCAGAAGAAATTCTTTCACAAGAATGTTTCAAGACTGAGCTTACCATGGAAACATCTTTGTTCCTCACTAGCTCTCCAGCAGAGACCCGCCAAATTCCAAGGTTATACGAACCCAGGAAGGTTCACAGAGGAAGTCTAAGCACTTCTTCCTCTTTTTCCTCTCACGAAGACACAACCGACAGCCATTTCTCCGCTTACGATTTTGACGACTCCAGCGATTGGACAGCCTCACTGATGAACCACAGCAGAAACAGACAGCCATTGGTGTTGGGAGACAATGTTTTCGCTGATTTGGTCGGGAATTGGCTGGATCTGCCGGATGTTGGAGGCCAGACTGTAGGTGAGGAGCAGAATGACTCGAGTCTCAAAGACACACTTTTGGAGTCATCATCTAGCAGTCACTCTCAAGATCTTTCCAGGAAAACCTCACTAACCACTAGCATGTTTAAACGGGTCCTACGGCGCGTTCGACCACGGCACCACCATGAAAGCGAAGGGATGGACGTCTGTAAACAACCAAAGATCACATACAGAAAGCCAAAATCAGATGTCGGCAAGCCATTCTGGGGGAGAACAAGAGGACTGAAGAAGAAAACCACGCCCACTCAGCAAGAGGGTGTGGCCTATCAGGGCTCAGAGAGTTTGATAGACAGAGGATGGGCGGAGATTGAGAAGCATCCAGTGTATGATTACAGCTCAGCTATGTGGGTTTAAATGACTCATATAATTCTGGATGGAAGAGAATTACACACTTAAACACACAGTCACAAAAAAGACTTTATGATCATAATTGTTGTAAAAGCAAAACATTGTGTTCTACATGTTGCCATCAAGTTGTTCCTCCGATTAGGGTGTTTATTATTACAACGTCACGCATCCAAGTTGGAAACATGATTAGTCTAAACAAAGCAAAAACATTTTACAACAATAAACCCAAAATAGCAATCTGAATTCAAAATTCATTTATTTGTATCACTTATTTATTCATTGTATCACAACTAAATGTGAAGAACATTGTTAAAGTTGAGTGATAAACACCATTGCTACAGATTTGATTTCCACTCACTGATCTCTCTGTTAAATCATATCTCTATTATAGATATGTTTCCAGATTATGATCCACGATTTTGTCAAATCAACACACCCCTTCCACCGCCAACTCAATTCAGAGTTTCTCATTTGTAAATATGACTCTGGTCACTCAGTCATTCATGTGCTCGGAACTCATAATTATGATATTTCTGACTCAACTTGAAGGGCTCATGAGTTTCTGAGCAATTAAAAAAAAAGATGTTGAGGTAAGATAGTCCTTCTCCCTCAAGTGAGAGGAGTAGCACTCAATAATTAATTCCAAAGATATGTTAGGTAAACAGTTATGAGATGTGTGTGTGTGTTGGAGACCTGAGTATGGCAGAGCAAAGAAAACAGAAAAATATTAAGTCATAAGCTGTTTCTGCTGATGCTTGTTTCCTTGTGTTTAGGTTTAGGAGCATGCCTGCCTAACTGTCAATCACTATGAAAAAGTCCTGATTGGTGCATTTTTTTGTACAAGTGTTTTGCGTAAAAAAGCTTTGCAAGCTGTTTTGTGTTGGACAGAAAAACTATGCAATGATGCTAAATTGCTATGCAAAAATGCAAATGCCTGTCTGTTTTATCTGCACCTTCTTGCTCTCTTCCCTGTATATATAAAACACATGGCTTTAGGTCCTGCAATAATCTATATACCTGTTCTTGAAGCTATTTTATACATGAAGTGATGTGGGAAGCTGTTTTTTAAACAAATAAAAAATAAAATAAAGTTCCTAAATGAGTAAATTCCATGAAGTCTTAGATCAGGAACATCATCCCTTTGTCATGACTTATTTCTTCACATTACTCTAAACCAGGGGCGTAGCCATCATTTCAAAAGTGAGGGGGACAGAATGTCAAGTGTAATACAATTTTTTTTCAGACTTTTGTTGATAGGTTAATCGGCTTAATCTGTTATTTATTTTTAAAGCAATAAAACAGAAAGAAAGAAATCCAGAAGTTCAGTACTTTATATTGCACATTCAGGGTTTTTCCTGTCTTAAAACGAGGCGGAGGTGGTAAAATCCTGATCATGTATTTGAATTAATAACATTTTTATTTTTCGTAGACCATCATATAGCCTACTGTGTTTCCCACAGTATTTTTGTAGGTGGATCTCGGTACTTCTAGGGGGGTCCGGGGGCATGCCCCCCCGTAAGAATTTTTTTTACATTTTAAAGATAAATTAATTAATCTGGTGCACTTTGAGTCCCCCGAATCCACTGTTAAAAATAAATAATCCACCCATCAACTGCCAACACATTCTCATCCTTTGGCGTCATATAGGTGACGCCATTCAAAATCTTATGCACATGGCATCCTTTAGCGTTAATATAACACGCACTGTTTTGGGTAGGTTTAGGTCTAGGGTAGGGTACGGTTATGACGCCTTGGGATCTGCGTCTCATATTGACGCTAAAGGAGGCCATGTGCGTCGGATTTAGACCAGCGTCACCTGTATACGGCTTGGGTTCTGCGTCTCATATTGACGCTAAAGGATGCCAATGCCATGTGCGTAAGATTTCGACGAAATGTCACAAGCGTCACATGTATGACGCCTTGGGATGAGAACGGGCTGCAACCGCCCAAACATATGATATTCTCTGATTTATATATCTGATCATTGCATTACAATAGGCTATGTGCACAAGCGTAATTTCGAACTTCCGCTATTGTCAGAAGTCGGCATGTCAGTTTCCGGTTTACGGCTGTTCATCCGCAACCGCTATAAACGAACAAGATGAGTGCTGCTGTTGTACGAAAAAAAGAGTTGTTAAACACATCTAAGTTTCTAAGAACTGTAGGTGGATCTATCATCTAACGCCCGTTTCACACATACCCCGTTTGCAGTGTGTGTTGCGGTGCAGGAGCAACGCGCGCTATAGTGCAGTTTCACATATGATGCGTTTGCAGTGAATAAATGATCCGCGGCCACAAACACATACTTACTATTTTTATTTAAAATCCAGAAGTTGTGCTGCAACTTTTATTTCAAAAAAAGTTGTCAGCATTGCGATTCTCTTTGTACACACTCTTTAATGGATGTATGCACGTTTAAACACAATTTAAACAACGGAAGTTTGGGCTATTATTCCATGCATTATATTAAGTTGCTCAAGCAAGTGGTCAAATTTACTATATTTAAATGGCAAATATTTTAAATTAAAACTTAAAATTGGCAAAAACAGCCAACTCACATTCCTTTTCTTTTGCATTTAAATTGTAATAGCCTACAATAGATCTTGCATGTCACAAAGAACTTGTTTTTCCACCTCCACGAATGAGACGAGTGTTGTTCATTATGTCGCCTTTATTGTAGTTTTCCTTGATTTACCCCGGTCTTCAGTCTTCAGATGACTGTGAAAAATAGTAGTACCGGTATATTAAATGCATTTATGGTGAGATTACTACATTTTATTTAATGAAACGCATTTATGGTGAAATTACTACATTTTCAGGTCAATCTTTGTGCATTTTGACCACGAAACATGCGGTGTCACTTTAATGCAGCACAGCAGAAATAGATTCGGTGCAGAAACGATCGCTGCACTGCTGTTATACGTGCCGCATCTGAAACGGTGTGAAAAGTGAAAGCCCTAACCTGTTAACATGGTGCGTTAGGAGCACTGCTGTGTGCCACTTTGCTCTGCTTCAAGTCGCTAACAGCCATTTGAGCTTCCAACGCTTCCCGAAAAACACCAACCTTCGTGCGCAGTGGCTGCACAAAATAGACATTTTGGGCGACGCGCAAAAAAAAAAAAAAAGTAAGTATGTGTTTGTGGTACAGCCGCGGATCAGTTATTCACTGCAAACGCATCATATGTGAAACTGCACTATAGCGCGCGTTGCTCCTGCACCGCAACACCAGGCCCGCATTAACCTGCCGTTAGGCCCTAGGGCTGAGAGGTTTTGTAGGCCCACAATAAAAAAAGTCTAATGATCACGTTTGTCTATACAACAAAAGCAGAAATAAGTTTCTCTCGGGGAGATATAGCCTAACGAAAACAGTATTCCATAAAAAGATCCACAACAACAGCAATGTAAAACCTCCACAGAACAGGCTATACTGGAAAGCAGTAAATAGTCTTGTTTTAGTCAACGAAATACAATAAGATTTTAGTCGACTAAATTTACAGTAGATTTAGTCGACTAAAATCGAATGGGTTTAGTGAAATTCTAATGCATTAATTTAGAATTTCTCTAAAATTTCCAAACATATTCCCATAGAAAACATCTATTAACCTGTTAATATGTATAATTTTTAAAGTTTGAACATGCAATACTCTACAGACACAGATTTAGCACGGTGACATAACATAATATCTTAAAATTAAATAAAAACACTTCTTCTCCTAAAGTAGAACAGTCTTTTTTTTTTTCAATCAATGATTATCAAGGGGGTAATCCATCGACCGGAAGTTGAAGCCGGCCGGGTGCCGCCATGTTGTAGCAGAACTTCACTTGCGTTAGCATTTCCATTGACTCCCATTCATTTTGGCGTCACTTTGACAGCGAATAACTTTACATCTGAGGCGTTTAAAGACTCCATTTGTCCATTGTTTATTTCTAAAGAAACACGACAATGTATAAAGGGCTCCATTACCTTCTATGTTACATTATGGCCCCGTAGAAACAGATTTAGTAAAAATAGGCTAACGATTGCGTCATAACCACTCGACTCTCTGTCGCGCTGTACAGAAATTACCGTACAGACAGGAGGAGAAGCTCGCAGGCAATCGGGGGGACGTCCCGTCAAGGGAGAAGCCCATAGATAATGAGTCCATAAAAGCAACGGAATACTTACTCCTGCTCACTCACGCCAAAGAACTCTTTGCTCAAGTTCCCCGTCTCTGCAAGATTAACGTTGGCAATTTTCACGCACAGCTACTAGAAGATTAACGTCTGTCAGACAGGTTGCTCACGTCATCAAGCTTAGCTTGAGTCGGTTTGAGTCTGCGCGTCAGGAACGGCAGTGCTCAAAAATCGCTAAAAATGGCTTTCAACTGTCTCAACTGAGTTCCAATGAGATGGCTCTGTCCACTTCTTATACTGTCTATGATGATTATGCAGTCTTTAACTTAAATACATCATTCTTTATTCTTTCAAGCAGACATATTTATTTGTATAATTTAAAGGCACACCGCGGAACTTTTGGCCACTAGTGGCGCTCGACCTGTAACTTTCACGTCTAGCGTCCCTAGAGGCCACAAGCTCCGCAGCACTGTCGCAAAAGTCAACAAACAATCAACCGGTCAGCACATAGACAGTGGGTCAGCCTCCCGTGTCTTTAGATTGTGTGCAGTGTTTGAGGCGGGCAGCCTTGCCGCGCTCGATTCCCTTACACTGCACACGTCTGCGGCGCATTACGGCTGCGACACGGCTACCGGAGCTGATCGCGGCCATTCTAGTCAATGCGTGTGTTTACACCGGCCGCGAAGCGGCGCGTTTCAGAAGCTTCCCAGAAGTGAGTTGGCACTGTGTGAAGGACGGAATAAAACCGTGTCGCAGCCGTAATGCGCCGCAGACGTGTGCAGTGTAAATGAGGGGTTATAGCAGTCTGCTGAGAGAGAGCGAGCGGGGCGAGCCCCGTGGGGCTTAGTGCTAACATGTCTGTGAGTGAATGTGGGCGCGGGACGGCGGGCACATTTCTACTGCACTAAAAACACCGTCGGCCTGAGCTGACTGTAACTTATGTGTTGGTTTCGTTTTACAGAAACCGTGGGACATGTTGTGTGTAGTGTTTGTGGGCACTGAGTCGT